TTGTATATAGCACACATGGATATTCTATTCAAAATTGACTAGTTACACATGAGAATCTGAAATTCTGAAGAAAAGACCTTTCTGTGCATGCTTATATAATTTACACATAGAAATGAGAATTTTCTCTTTCTGACTCGAGTTATTCAGCCCCTCATTTCAACATTTGCTCATGTTACACAATGAATTTGTGGCATTATCTTAATTGTAAGTGACTTAAATGACTTTGCATCCTTATCATAATAAGCAAGGGTCACAAACAGTCGTAGATAAATCTATTTTGTAAACATCACAACAGGAATATATCAGAAAATACTATAAGTGCCCAGTATACTATACTATTTGAGTACTGACACAGTCCCTGTACATTACTTGGTTTATTTACCTGATTGATTTTAAAGTGATTCACAAAAGTATGTCAGGAATGTGGACCAGGAACTGATCTGGCCACAGGGGACCAGGCTGGTCTACAGTTTCCACCTAAAGCTGGTGTACAGAGTAGACCAGGCCTCTCACTTCAGGTCACCAGATGATCAGATTACATCGCCAGGTACCCAGCTTTAATCACGGTTTACAGGTGTTGTACCTGGACATAGGAAGAGTTTGGTTTACCTGAGTTGGTGTTTATACCTGTTTTACTTACTGTAGCATCGGACGCCTTCCTTCCTATTTGTGCCTTGACCTATTTCCTGTTTTGAGAACTTGTTTATGTTGTACATACCAAGATTTGATGGAAAAAAATATTAAAGCCAAAAATTAATAAAGGAAACATTGTATTCAATTTGCAAAGCTGGGTACATCTGCGAACATTCATCATATTTACATGTTTATTGTTTGTTGTACACCCCAATGCTAAAGAAGGATGCAGAGTGACCAATATCTTTATCAAATTTGTTTAGAAATGTGTATTAATGTTTGAAATAATTAAATCAGCCTTGCAACAAAGCAAAATAAGTGTATAATTATATCACCTACATCAATTTAAAATTTAGTGACTTTTTTTTCTAACAACAGGATTGTGAGTTCCATGGTGTGGTCAGGTTCTACTTCCAAGACGGGAATAACGTGGTGACAAAATGTATTCGTGTGGCGAGCTCGGCTACCACACAGGAAGTAGTGGACGTCCTAGTGGAGAAGTTCCGGCCCGACATGCGCATGTTGACGGCCAACAAATACGCGCTGTACGAGGTCCATGCCAATGGCGGTAAGGAAAACGCAGAAAACTAGTGTAGGCTGTGTAATTAATAAATAGAAATCTTGGTTTACTTATTAGTACATTGTGAAAGTGGAATTAATGTATGTATTAATTATATTTTTGAATTTTGACCTTTATAATCATGTTGATTGAATGAATAGGCTAAGCATTGAAACATGGATAGGCACTTAGAGAATAGAGAAAAGAGATGAAATCATTAGAATTTGTGTTATAATATCTTCTTCATCATCATGTCAATAGCAGAGTGCACATAAGCATTGCTCTCTATTCCATTGTACATGTCTTCCTCTATCACTATTGTAAGATAATACAATACCCAGAACACAGAACTCATTCAGGTCTTTTTGACTTTTTAATTTTGTCCAGCAATTTGTTAAATTACAGCTGACATTGGCTGCATTCTTTGAATTTAAACATTCCAGTCATTTTAGGTTTGCAAAATTTAGAATGGCATCATGGGCATAGCATTTTTGTTTAGCATTTTTAGAACAATATAAAAAGATATATCAGTTACATACGTCTTTTGACATTTAACAAGTATAACAAAGACATTTTGCGGTTGTGTTCGTTTATTACTATGTTAAGATACAGTCCAATTTTTTATGCCACAGAGCAATTTCACACTTGGAACAGAGCCATTAGGAACAAAGTACATTATTTAGTTTAAAAAAACTGTTACTTTGTTTTTATAAGGGGTAGGGGATATTTGAAATGTCCTAGACACAGTCATCTGTAATGAGTCTATGATTTTAGTATAATTTGCCAGGTAAAAACTTTTCTCACCACACACTCACACACACCTTGAATTTTTCTTTTTATCATTTAGGGTCAAATTTGAAACATTCTTGCATATTAATAACCAACAACAGGAAATCTGATCTTCTTTATATCAGATTCTTGCAGCCATGCATTTAGTTTGATACAGACTTTAATTATAATAACAGATAAATGTATGGACTTAAAAGTGCCTGTGACCCTGCTTACTACGAGAGCAATTGACCTTAACTTAATAATCCTGAAAGGTCAGCATCATCAGGTATATTTCCTAGTTCCAGTAAAATTCTAAGAAACAGGGTCTATCAGAGCCTGTAACTCAGGTAGATTCTCCAACACAACAGCTCATCACCACCACAAATCATCACCATCTATTAGCCCACTTCCTGTCATCCAGAGCCATGCAGTTTCAATAAGTCCAGACCATCATCATCCCACCACTATCTAACAGGCTAAATATTCTTCCCATCACAGCCCATAACTACATGCCCATCAAAACAGCCCATCACCATCACAGACCATCACCATCACAGCTCATAACTACATGCCCATCAAAACAGCCCATAACCACACAGCCCACTTATCTTCAGTGCCATATTTCCTATCACAGACTAGACACTCTTTCCATCGACATCCCTACTCAGTCTCTATCAAAGCCACTATCTCCATGATCTCACAGACTGGAGAATCTTTCAAGTTAAATATTACCACCATGATCACTACTACCATACAGACTACATAGACAGTCTTCCCATCATAGCCCATCACCATATCAACCTACTCCCCATCAGACCCACAATCTCAATATCAGTCAGACAAGACAGTCTTCATCTCATCCCACTCTCTCAGACCAGACAGTGTTGTACCACAGTCCACCAACAGAGCCCACTCCCATCAGAGCCACTACCTCTCAGACCAGGAAGTCTTCCCACTATAGCCTGTCACTGCCTGAATCCACTCCCCATCACCACCCGAGTCCTCTCCCCATCAGAGCCATTACCTCTCAGACCAGACAGTGTTGTACAACAGTCCATAGACACAGCCCACTCCCCTATCAGAGCCACTACCTATCAGACCAGAATCTTCCCACTACAGCCTGTCACCACCTGAGTCCACTCCCTATCACCAACTAAGCCCACTCCCCATCACCAACTAAGCCCACTCCCCATCACCACCTGAGCCCACTCCCCATCACCACCTGAGTCCACTCCTCATCACCACCATTATCTTACAGACCAGATAGACTTCCCACTACCATGATCACTACCTGAGTTTACTTCTTATCACCATCTGAGTCCACTCCCCATCACCACTTGAGTCCACTCCCCATCACCACCATTATCTAACAGACCAGACAAACTTCCCACTACCATGATCACGACCTGAGTTCACTCCCTATGACCACCTAAGTCCACTCCCCATCACCATCATTATCTTACAGACCAGACAGACTTCCCACTTCCATGATCACGACCTGCCTGAGTCCTCACCCCATTAGAACCTCTATCTCACAGACCAGACAGCCATAAAACCTAAACCAGTCCTTTACCACCTCAGTCCAGCCCAGTGTTAAATTAATGGCTATTTAATCCAGAACATTTATCTGTTGTTTAATCAGATCAAACAGGGATTAAACATGGAAATCTGTCTGTTCTCTGTGGCAATTTTTAAAAGTGCCTCGACAAATATGAAAAATGAAGAGATTTGGGAATGTATATAAACATGATAAATGTAATATCTTTAGATCATGCTAGGGTTTTGTCAGGTAGGACACACTGTGTCACCAGTACAAGGTGAACACATTAGCATGTAAATATACATGTATTTTTAGCTGATCTGCTATATATATCATTTCTTTTCTTTCGGAAAGCTTTTTAGCTCACCTGAGCCGAAGGCTCAAGTGAGCTTTTCTGATCACATTTTGTCCGTCGTCCGTCCGTCCGTCTGTCTAGCTGTCTGTCCGTCTGTAAACTTTTCACATTTTCGACTTCTTCTCAAGAACCACTGGGCCAATTTTGACCAAACTTGGTACAAAGCATCCTTGGGTAAAGGGGAATTTAAATTATTAAAATGAAGGGACATATCCCCTCGCAAGGGGAGATAAGCAAGAAAAGGCAAAAATAGGGTGGGGTCATTAAAAAATCTTCTTCTCAAGAACCACTGGGCCAGTAAAGCTGAAACTTACGTGGAAGCATCCTGGGGTAGTATAGATTCTAAATTGTTCAAATCATGACCCCCGGGGGAAGGGCGGGGCCACAATGGGGAATCAAAGTTTTATATAGAAATATATAGGAAAAATCTTTGAAAATCTTCTTCTCAAGAACCACTGGGCCAGAAAAGCTGAAACTTATATGGAAGCATCCTGGTATAGTGTAGATTCTAAATTGTTCAAATCATGACCCCCGGAAGAAGGGCGGGGCCACAATGGAGAATCAAAGTTTTACATAGAAATATATAGGAAAAATCTTTGAAAATCTTCTTCTCAAGAACCACTGGGCCAGAAAAGCTGAAACTTATGTGGAAGCATCCTGGTATAATGTAGATTCTAAATTGTTCAAATAATGACCCCAGGGGGAAGGGCAGGGCCACAATGGGGAATCAAAGTTTTACATAGAAATATATAGGAAAAATCTTTGAAAATCTTCTTCTCAAGAACCACTGGGCCAGAAAAGCTGAAACTTATGTGGAAGCATCCTGGTATAATGCAGATTCTAAATTGTTCAAATAATGACCCCCGGGGGAAGGGCGGGGCCACAATGGGGAATCAAAGTTTTACATAGAAATATATAGGAAAAATCTTTGAAAATCTTCTTCTCAAGAACCACTGGGCCAGAAAAGTTGAAACTTATGTGGAAGCATCCTGGTATAATGTAGATTCTAAATTGTTCAAATAATGACCCCCGGGGGATGGGTGGGGCCACAATGGGGAATCAAAGTTTTACATAGAAATATATAGGAAAAATCTTTGAAAATCTTCTTCTCAGGAACCACTGGGCCAAAAAAGCTGAAACATATGTGCCCATGCATGGAAGGATCATGGGGTAGTGTAGATTTCAAAATGTCTAAATTATGATCAGTGGGGTAGGGTGGGGTTGCATTATGTATAACAAGGGTGAAATCTGGTAAAGAACAGAATGGTCAAAGCTTCGCAGGTGAGCGATGTGGCCCATGGGCCTCTTGTTTGCATTTGAGAAAATCATGTCTGTCATGTAAATGTGGAATTGTTGGTACATGTATTATACATGTTATATAGACGTGTTAGATATTGAGTGTGGTATTTGGGTTGTAGCATGTGAAGTACACAAAGTATAATGATGAATGGATAGAATCATCTAAATATATGTAAAGTTCTAAATTATACAGGTCAAATAATAAACACCTGTATTCAGTAACGCATCTGATTACATCAGTTGACTCCAGTGAATAGTTCTTATAGATTGTCTGATTGGGTATTGGGATCAATAAATGATAAAATCGGAAGATCAACCAGTGATTATCAATAATCAATAAATCGGAGATCAACCAGTGATTATCAATAATCGGTCAGTGTTCCAAACCGCCTCACAGACGGAAACACACCGTGTAGGTACTGTGTATCCAGCTGAAGTTTGTGATACAAATGTATTCAAGTGCGTATCTGTACGTTAATAAAAGCAGATATATTAACCTGTTATGCAGGCTTTTCTGGTTAATATGTTGTGTCTCAAAAAAGAAGTGATTATTGTATCTTTCATGTATGATTAAAATAATAGTTAACTTATGGTGTATTTATATGACAGGAGAATTAGTGCAAGACAAACATTGACAAATTTAATTATTTCTGCCATCTCATTTTCTTCAATCAACATGTGACAATCCCCCCCCCCCCCAAAAAAAAAAATACAACTCTAAAACAAGTGCACCATTCAATTCAAAAGTGCATGTAATGATGTATTATGTGTATATTTCTCTTTTAATTGTCATTGATAACTTACTATATTAATATTTTACAGAGGAGAGGAAGTTGGACGACAGTGAGAGAGTTTTATGGGTGCAGCTGAACTGGGGTACAGACGTTAGGGAGGGCAGATTCTTACTCAAAAGACAGGTAAAAACTCAAAAGACAGGTAAAAACAAGACAGATAAATACTCAAAGACAGGTAAAAACTCAAAAGACAGGTAAAAACAAGACAGTTAAATACTCAAAGACAGGTGAAAACTCAAAAGACAGATAAAAACTCAAAGAAAGGTAAAAACTCAAAAGACAGGTAAAAACTCAAAAGACAGGTAAATACTCAAAGACAGGTAAAAACTCAAAGACAGGTAAAAACTCAGAAGACAGGTAAATACTCAAAGACAGGTAAAAACTCAAAAGACAGGTAAAAACTCAAAAGACAGGTAAACACTCAAAAGACAGGTGAAAACTCAAAAGACAGGTAAAAACAAGACAGGTAAAAACTCAAAGACAGATGAAAACTCAAAAGACGGGTAAAAACTTGGGACATTTATCATAATTTATAGTGATAGACTAATAAATCTTCAGTTGTTACCAAAATAACATTTTATTCAAAAGAATGTCATTAATGAATATATTTTTCAAACATTATACATTGATGTATAATATCAACATTAGCAATAGCATGTTGAACAAATGTTGAAGTTACAATTCATATTATACCTTGTATATAAAATTCCAGGAATCTCTTGCAGAAATAAACTAGCACAATATCAGAGACTTTCAGTAAACTGTTAGACATATACATACATACAATGCAGTATTAATTGTTAAGGTTAACAAGGAGTAAGTGAATTGTTACACCAGGGATTGAGGCTGAGACCTGATAAGATTGTTATATGTCAGGGGAATCTAAGCCTATCCAAGTTCTCTATGATCTAAAAGAACACCGTCAGCACAAGTACTAGATTCCCATGGTCTCTGTGATCTAAAAGTGTCTACCCTTGGGAATGATTGGGGTTTTACATCCCTTGCAAGAATTTTTCATTCATAATGAGACATGAACAAATCCTGTGAAGACCTTCAATTTCAGACTTAACTTCATACTCTGGGAGGTTAATTTACCTGCACAAAATGCTGAATGGTACTTACGAAGCAGTATCTCATTGACAATTATGATTAGAATTTGCTGCAATTAATTTCAAAACTCTTATTTAACATGTTTAACCCCTTCCATGGCAAAGATTTTAAGCATTTCTAGACAAATCGATATTAAGATTTCAATGCATTTTTGGAGTATTTCTTGTAATTTTTGTACATACTAATGTATATATATTCTGAAAGCAGGTATTGTGTTGTTTCTAAAAATGATTGTAAAAAAAATTCATTTCAGTTGCCATGGCAATGAAATACACCATAATCATGCTGGAATTTCCATTTATTCAAGAAAGAGTTTCATTATAGTTTTTTTGCTTAGTTAAATATATTAAAAATATTTTATTGTTCTTTTGAAAATTATAAACATGTACATTTTTTTTTGCAAACAAATTTTAAGTATTTTGAGGGGATTGGGTAGGGTTGGGATGTAAACACCAGAATTTAGCATTTTTACATATAACGTGTTACCCCCGCGTTGATTTCGATAATGGCAAAATCGCTCAAACAGTCCACAAAGTTTTACTCAAGCTAGCAAAAAACTGGTACAACCAATAAAAATATTTTCTGCATATTATTTTACGGTATTTATTTTCTCTTTCCAACGAAGCAAGATTTATTCTGGTATTTCCAGTATTAACGAAGTTATGAATGTTTTTTCACACTATACTTGTTTTTCAAGTCAGAGGCGTAGAAATGCGTATATACCATGTAAGGGGTTAACCACACAGCATGGCAAACATTATCGTGATCATTGAGCAGTCTTAAAATGTAATGTCAAGGTCACTCAAGGACATTAATGTGTGGACATAGTTAAATGTTAGGGACTGATGGGACTGACCATTAGCTGACCAATGCCGCTCAAGTAATCTGGTAATGTAGCTTGTCTTTTATTAATATTGGATATTTAATCTAATAAACTCCATGGCTATTCCTGTCATTAATTCCCTACACAGAGAGCTTAAACTAAATATTAAGCTGTTCACTAAATTAGTGGTCTGACCTTGAATTCAATCAGATTCTTTAGTGTTTATATTTGTCCAATTATCGATTATTTTGATTGCTCTAGCTTATTGTTGGGATGGATAATTGTCAGAGATAGAGTATTATAATTATATGAACGGCATGAAGAGAAAAATTGAGAAATTATAGACACACTAGGCATGTAGGACTTTTAAAGATGTTGTTTCCAGTAATGCCATGCTAAGTTTCCTGGGATAGAACGATGGCCTTTCAGTAGATAAATAAGTCATAATTACACAATAGACGTGAATCTTCATCCCAGTACTTCAGTGATGATCAGCTTGTTGTCCATTGATTTTTGTTTCTTTCCGGTCCAAACCATAACAAAGAACAAAATGTATACATATGAGTTAATTGATTCTGTGAATGGTTATGAAGGCTAATTTGTTTTTGTGGATGGGATGATAGCGTGTATCATATATTTTGATGTATTTTGAAGTAATCTTTGTGAAGCTGGAGAGTTCCAGCTATTGAATGCGGTTATCTAACACAATCTAGAAAAAAGAACTGAAACAATGCTATCACAGTTATGAACTTTATTTAGATATTTCCCTGTTAGTTGATCAATTGCATGTATGTCAATTATTTTACATTATTTGTGCAACAACAACAAAAAGTCAAAAATTAAGAAAAAAATTGTGTTATTTGACGGGTATTTGATTGATTCTGCATGTTTTTAGTGAAGTTAACTATACTTCCATTGTTCATGATCAACATTTAATATTACTGTATTTATTAACTTTCCTACGTTATTATTACCTATCAGGGGGACACAACTGTTCCACATGCAGATAACAAGGAGAACCAGGGAGGGACGTTTAAGAGGAAATTGTCGAAGCGAGAGAAGAAGGAAGCGAAGAAGAAAGAGAAGGAGAAGAAGATTCTGGACTCGGGTAACGCCGCGGAGCAGCTGTATACGGACATGCCGGAGACGCGATTTACCCGCAGCATCTCTAACCCCGAGGCCGTGATGAAACGACGTCGTCAGCAGAAGGTGGAGAAAAAACTACAGCAGTGTCGTGGCCAGGACGGACAAGGTTAGTGACGATTAATTACCCTTAAAAATCGGATTAAACAAGTAAGACTCAACGTTGAGTCCGACCCCCCCCCTTAAAAAAATTAATATTATAGAAAACACCGTAAACAGTTCTAACGAAAATTTACGTATTTTTATTATTACGTTTTGTTTAGTCATATTGTATTTGAGAGGGTAATGACATTGACACAGATAATTCGGACAGATAACCCATGTGTGTTTTAAATGTGGAAGTTTTACGATATCTGTGTGAAATTTAACTTGTCTTTTGTGTAAAGCCTCTCTTTGTATTCTCCTTTGGGCCAATCTGAATATTAATGACAGTTATTAACTTGCATTTAACCCTGCACTTAAAAAAGGTTTGAAAATCCCCAGGGAACATTGAGTAACGCAGCTCGAGTTAGTTTGAAGGAGGTGTTTTTAATTGATTTCCGTTACCTGGGCGTGTTGTTACCTCATATTGTTCAGTTTAATTTTGGTGCACAAATGAAGCAGTGTTCTATTTATGATGCAGTCTTTTAAGTGCTCTGTTCTACCTGTTTTTAAGGATTGGGTGTTAGACCAACAATGTTCCACAACTAACATGTTTAAAGATTATTAAGTCATTGTATTCAAATGTACAAATTAACTTTTAAGAAAAGTAAAAATGGTAAAAATAGATTTCTTTTTGCAGTCATAATCAGGATGAATGGTCCATTCTTAATTCCTGTTCAGATGTAGTAAACAATTTGTAGACCCTTTTACTGAATTAATTACCTTGCACACTCGTATTCAGAAGTTGTAAATCTAGTCATAAATCTGTTTAAATCTACCAGCAATATGAATGAAGTAGAAGACTGAAGGACATAATTCTATAGTCTACATTTTGACAGCCGGGTCTAATTCTGTGTAAGCTTTATATTTTGTAATTGGATTAGTGTAGACCAGGATCATGAAGTCATATTACTATTCTGTGTGTCTAAAAAAGGGCCAACGAAAAAAAACCGTGTCAGTTTAAAATTCACTGATACCCGATTCAGAAAAATTAGAAACCCACACACTTGAACCAACAGAGGAGAATTGATTTTTAATGTAAACACTGAAAATTTTAACAGATGGAAAGATATGCTATAAGTGGAGAAAAACATGTGATACCTAATGAATCACACGCACTGCACAAACTGTTTGGCATGTTTATAAAATTTTATACACATGACTGAACATGTACATTTTATCTAGTTTTCAACAGGTGCTTTACAATGGAAATTTCTATAGTCTGTGTAGTGCCAGTGTTTATATGAGAGAGAGAGAGAATCCATTCACATAGGACTGCACTTCATAAAAGATTCAAGATTACATATCAGATTACAGAAGGAGAGATGCAGAAGCATCAATTATTGATAAAATTTCCCTTAAATGATAAAAGGATACATGTATTTTCTAGTTACGACAAAGGGGTTTTTGGACACTTGATGGGGAATGTATTCAGAGGGATTTAGGATAATTGAATGATCAAGGCTAACTTGTACATATAAATCCATTTCACTGAAAAATTATATTTAATCCATGTTTTTGACCTGGTTTTGGTCCCTTGCAAACTCAGCAGTTGAGGATAGTGTTAACTATGAGAAGACCATGAAATCTTGTTTTTGTGTTTAGATTAGTCTATAGACCTCCTCTGTCTGTCCCTTTCTCTACAGAGAATAGAGATCTTGTACATAATGAATTGTGAAATCTTTATTTATTTATTGGTGGTGATGATCAGACCTAACTGCCAGTCCTCAGTTTCTGTTTCCAATCTCATCCTTGACAAGGACGTGAAGGGACCCCAGTTAATTACGTTATCTAATCAGGGAATTTCCTGTCAGGGAGTTCAGACCTGATGACTTAGCATCGCAGAGCTATCTCCGATTGTGAAGTGGTTCCGTGGTCTGGTAGAATCGTTATTTTCCTGCTAATTGTGATGATATGGGAGACTGGCTGTAACAGAAATAAACACCTCCTCCCCACCCCTTGTTTCTCTACCTGATAATTAGTGTATACATAAAACACATGGTGCTGTACATTCCTGTGTAGATATTTCCCTCAGGTGTATAATGGGCCTGACCTTAACAGGAATTTATACCAGAGGTCAGTGTACAAGAATTACTCAGAGAAATGACCGCTTACTGGCTTTAAGTGTCTCCAACCAGAAGGTTCCTGGAAAGTGTTAATTATTAGGAATAGCTTTTGGTGTTGTTTTTGCCAAATAAGAAACGTGATAGTGCTTTTTATGATAAACAAAGGAGAAAACAAGTGGTGTACAGCATGCTAATGACATAAACAGACTTTCTTCTTGTATACAATTTGCTGATTCCTAGCTTTAAACATTAAAGTATCTGTTGTAAAAAGAAATGCTTACAATAAACAAATTCAGTTTGCAGGAAAAAATTTCTACCTTTTAATATTCTGATCTGCAACATGTTTTTGTGTGTTAGGGTTTTCAATAAATGTAAGAGGCAATTAAGAATTGATATACAATTATTTTGAAACATTTAATAATTTCCATCATAAGCAACAAAAATACCCAGTGTATGAAAGGACTTTTAAATAAATTCTGGATAAAAGTCTTTTCATAAATTAAGGCTTGGATTAGAAAATTAAGTGAGACGTCAATGTCTTAAAAGCCAGTATTTCCCTAGACCTTTACCTTCCCCTGGTCCAGCTAGTTAACGGCCATTTGAGCCACTTATGGAGATAGTCAACATCAGATGATAGGCATAATCACTGTTTACATTAAACTCTCCAGTCGTTGAAGGAGAACAAAGCCAGTGTATAAATGCCATTGTAGATAAAATTTGTAAAAGTATGTAGATTTTAAGTTTCTAGTATGGGTCAGTGAACAGGAGTTGACTTTTTGTTCAAACAGAGTAGTCGCTTTTCAATATACTTTGTAGGGTTGTAAACAATTAGATATAATCTTTCACTAAAATCTAAAATATGTACATATGATGTAGGGCACATTGTGTATTTTTTAAAAAAATAAATCCACCTTCTGTATAGTTATTTTTAAAATAAAGGGAATGTAATCAGCTACGCATGATGATTACAAATTTTGCGCCATTGAATTGAGTTTTTTCTTTAGCATATATACTTAAATGATCACAGTTTTTTCAGACATTTTTGTTTTCCTATGTCAAGTTAATAACAAGCCCAGATACCTGTACTATGATTTTAATATGTTTTACTCTGTATCACAATGTTCATATGTCAATAAATTTTAATTATTTCGAACTGTAATCAAAAGTAAGTTTTAAACTCAGTGTTAGTATTCAGACTATGTAATTTAAAGCTGAATTTTAAGAAATTGATTTATTTTTGTTACCACCTCCAGGGGGTACGCTGAAGATCTATGGAGAGAGCATTAAGCCGGACATTCCTTATAAGACCCTCCTCCTGTCCACCGCCGACAATGTCCGCTACGTCATCAAGGAGACCATGGACAAATACGGGATGGACTTCAGTGTCAATGACCCCGACGATTTCTGTTTGGTTCAGGTGAGCATTACAGACCAGGAGCTGATTGGGTCTGAACTCATTAGGAAGGTTTCAGTGCTGTACATTACTACATTTAGATCTCTCCATTATATGAAGTTACCATAATTTAGATATAAGCATGACAATAAAAAAAGTAATTTCATAAGCATTTATAGGTATATTGTTCATAAAACAAAATCAAACAAAAAAATTCATAATCAAAACAAAAAGATACAAGCCATATTTTTACTACTTTGTGAATATTGGTATCATCATTGTTTTGATGGTGAAAAAATAATTTTTGGTTGAATCCTTCTGGTTATATATTTGAAAACACTTGGTTTCTACATTGTAATGACACTCATTGCAGGCTTTGTATTAGCACACTAGAATTTTACAATTAATCTTCATCAGAGATTTACACCTGTTTGATTTTTACAGGTATTAGTGCCCCCAGGTGAGAGGGAGTACCACGGAGGGAACATCGGAGAGGAGAGAATCATGGAGGATCACGAGTGTCCGCTGGCCATCGCCATGGATTTCCCCCCGACCAAAGGTCAGTGTTAAATTAGTGTCCGCTGGCCATCGCCATGGATTTCCCCCCGACCAAAGGTCAGTGTTAAATTAGTGTCCGCTGGCCATCGCCATGGATTTTTCCCCCGACCAAAGGTCAGTGTTAAATTAGTGTCCGCTGGCCATCGCCATGGATTTCCCCCCGACCAAAGGTCAGTGTTAAATTAGTGTCCACTAGCCATCGCCATGGATTTTCCCCCAACCAAAGGTCAGTGTTAAATTAGTGTCCGCTGGCCATCGCCATGGATTTCCCCCCAACCAAAGGTCAATTGTAATGTTGAATACTGTATGTGACAGAGTAAGCTCCCTTTCTTTATCTTAAGACTAAATAGTGTTGGAAAGAAATTGATCCTGTATGGCCAATAAAACTGAGAAAATGCGTCGAAGATTGCACTTGAGGTTTTGGTTTTCATTTAAAGTGAGTCTAGGTATCTTTTATAGGAATGAAATAATTCATTCGTTTTGAAATTATCATGAAATAGCAGAGTATATAAGATCAATAAAGATGGGGGGGTTATAAATTGTTTAGTAATAAATTTGAAGGAGATGTGATCTAGTTAGGTCTAGATTTAATATATAATTAATCATCAGACCCTGGTTTGTCTAAGTTAACTAATGATCCAGCTGGCAGCTGTGTCCTGTATCCTGTCAATATTGATGTACCTTGTATACTTATCAATATTGGTGTACCATGTAAACTGTCAATATACATGTACCTGTACAGTGATGAGGTGAAGCTCGATGCATCATCAGCTAAATAAAGACACAAATAAAACCCACCCCTCCTGATGATAGAACTAAAAAGGTTATATTGTTCTTTGACAATTACTGTGATTGCATAGCTGTATAGTCATGATACATTAATAGCTAGAAACATGCAAGGGGAATTATTTTAATGCTCTGAAGTGAGTCTAGATATGAACATTAAACTGGTATATATAACCTACTTAAGTAAAAATGTCTATCAGGCTATAGCTTGGAAGTTTATTTTTATAGATAGAAATCAATATCCAGAAATGTTCAAGGTCAATCATGTATTGACTAATGCTTAGGAGAGAGTGATATAATTAATACACTAGAAATTAAATCAAGAAATGCTGGTATGAAAGAAATGGTATTTCATCACCAGATGTGAATATTTTTAGGTTGTGTAGAAATGTTATCCATAAAATGTAAAATTACACACAGATAATTTTCCTTGCACAAATTTTCCACCAAATAATGTTATATGCCTTTGTTTGTAGGAACTATGATGTTCCACTTCAGAAGACGTAATGATGCGAAGAAACCAAAACATAAGAAACTCCGAGCAGTGTCTCATGAGGAACTTAGAATGAGGAGCGACGATGCTCCCCCACAAAAATTACCGTACCTCGTAGAACTTAATCCAGGTAAGGTAGAGAAGTTCATAAAAATGTCAAAAAGGTAGACCGTGTTTGCCCTCGTATTTTTCATGTATATTGGATAAAAATATTTTAAACATGATAATTGATTGCTGTGTAGAGGGAAAATAACTTGTGGTCTAAATATTCACTTTATTCACATGCTACTTTATCTGTGCAATAAAAAAATATGGATTCAGTTTTCAAAAATGTTGAGTTACATTAACAAACATAAGCACTGTTGCCAATTTTTACATTGACTTAATTTGCTACTCAGTTCAAATAAATTTGATAAAGATTATCAACTTGCTTCATATAGTGTTCATTAATGTCTGCAATTTATATCATATTCCGCAGAAAATGTACAGGCCACTTTTTTTAATTTACATCGCTGATTAGGTAAGAATTAAGATAGAGAATTGTGATAATTATATATTTTGCGATTTAATGTTGACTGTTTTGGGATTATTTGATAGATGGCTCTGACAACCCCAAAGGGAAGGTGTACAGACTGAACATGAAATTTACAGAAGTCGGAAGTGACCCCTCCATGTTTATCAAGGTCAGTTCTCGGAGCATAATTAATATCCAGATTGAGATATTGTTGTAGCGCAGTGTATGATGTAGATTTGATTGCCCGTGTAACTTGACTTCCTATTATATCTTCCCACTGTACACCCCAAAAGTAGAAAAAAAGAGGTAGCCATTATAGTATGGGGCAAAACACTATTCCAAATTTTACTTTCAAGTACAAGAAAAACAGACCAAAAGAGACACAAGGTTAACACTGAATATGGATGATTAAACTGCTGTGTTATAAAAGATATAGCTTTTAATCACTGATCATTATACAGGTAGGCTACCTCTAAAATAGGTCTGAAGAATGTAAGTGAAGGTGCCAAGACTGTGTCAGAGGAAATACGATGAATAAATGGATGAACTTACAAAGTTTCTTATTTTGAAAAATTCTTTTGTAGGTGCAGGGTCCAAACATCCAGCCTCGTCACTGTGTGTTGGGTCTGGTGGAGAAGGACGGGGTAGTGACTGTTACTCCCAGAAGTCCCGAGTCCGAGACCCACGTAAACAATCAAAGAATTTCAGAAACCACAACGCTACAGAACGGCATGACGGTCAGATTCGGAAAGCTGCACGTGTTCAGATTTATTGACCCTAATTTCGAAGAGGTAGGGACCCCAGGATTATTTTTTTGTTTGTGAAGGCAATAAAAAACTTATTTTTTACTTGTATGTATCTTTATGTTTTTTGATATTCAGATTTTGGAAGTATTTTCATCTGTCATCTTAAACAAGTATTATGATAGATCAAAAACAAAATTTGTACTGCAAAAATTAGACTTGGGATCAAGATAAAAATTTTTGAGAATTTATTTCTATAGATGTTTCTAGGTAATTTGTGTTGATAACCAAGAGTTGTCTGTCTTGTCAATGTCATATTGATTGCTGGGTATGTTGTATTGATTACAAAGTCAGAGTTGTCTTCCTTGTCTTATGTGTCTGTGTTTATATATAGAAACTGAAGAAAGGTCAGGTTCCTCCAGACGGGGCGATCCAGAAACACCGCACCCCCCATCAGAAGCCCATGGAGACAAACTTTGATGCTGTCCGCCCTGTCCCCGCCCCCAGGGAACCCAGACCCCAGGAGCCCGCAGAGACTCAGAGAAGGTATAGAGAGCTAGATTACACTTTATCAGTGAACTGTATTGATTCTTTTGTAATAATTGATTTGTCTGTTGATACATATGTTAAATATAAATAGAAATACTTTTATTGTTAAAATTGACTTTAGTAATAAATAAAAATGATATGTTGAGAATAAAAAAAAAATAATTTATGGCTAAAATTTTTTATGGATGTAAAAATATTTTTTGTTTTTTCTAGGGGTGTACCTCAGCCGATGGGATCCCCGCGGAGGGAGGAGCCTGCGTACCCCCCACACAGACAGGGTGGGGACCTTCTGCCGGCCGTACTGGTATTCAGGGAAGACAGTAAGTCTATAAGATATCTCGTAATAATCTACAAAGAAAGACAACTTAGATATAAATAATAAAATTACAAGAGTACTCCATGGCAAGTTGTTATGAAGAAATGAAATCTTAGTAAATGATTTTACTTTATCGACCAATAACTTGATTTTTCAGAGGAGGACCACTTCTTTGCCAATGTTGTCCTGGACTCAGCTACTGCTGGCCTTTGGTTTAAGCTGGCCCCAACCTACACAATTTATATGGCTGTCCGCTTCTCTCTGTCTAATGGTTATAGGCCCGATCTCAGTCCTCAGGATAAACCACTCAAAATCACTTACCTCGTGATCAAGATAGCCAACCTCACACATCAAGCCATACATGTAAGTAAAGGAAGCCAAGCAAGGAAAGATAATCAAGTTTGACATCACCTCATACACAAGATATTCAAAGCATGTAATGTTTCAAGGCTTTTTACATCAGAATATATTGATCTGAATCTTAATGACTAGTCTAAATTAATTTTGAATGAAGAATGTTTTCCCATAAACATTCTGGATAAGTTTGTGATTTCTGGATAAGTTTGTGTTTTGTGTACTTTTTTCAGTCTAACCAGGACAATATTGCGGCCTTGGCGTTCTGGATGGCCAACTCCTCTGAGATCCTCCACTTCTTTAAGCAGGATCACGACATTCACCCGTTCAGTCAGGATGCCCAGGAGATGCTGGCGGAGTCTGTACAGATGGCCTTCCATCATCTGGTCCGCTGTCTGCAGTACGACCTTCAGAGGACACTGCCAGCGTTCCTGGACGACGGTGATGAGGATGATCCTAACGGTAATTGTTACCACATCCATCGTGTCAGTTTATATAAAGCCTTGATTAGCCAACCGTGCTAGGTTCTAGGAGTTTCCCTACTACACATACTTTTAAAAATTGGAAAAATGTTGGATATATTTTAAAATATTTTAATCTATAGTATATACTTGAGCTGTCAGGTTTTCTGTCTTTTTATAAATGTTCGCTAATTTTTATAATAAGCCTAAATTTTATTTTTATATAGTTTTGGTTTGTTTCTATTTTCTCTCTTTCTCCAGATGTTTTGTGTTTCCTTTACATTTAGTACTATGTTATTGTTTTTATATCACAGCAGATAAGAGCAGGATGCAGTACAACAGAGGGCGTCCCACACTCAGCGACGTCCTTGACACCCTGTCCTCAGCGATGAATTTGTTACGTCGCTGTCGTGTTAACGCAGGGCTCACCATTCAGCTTTTCTCCCAGCTGTTCCACTTCATCAACATGTGGCTGTTTAACATCCTTGTGAAGGAACAACATCAGTTCTGTATGAGGATCTGGGGCGTCCGATTAAAGCGACGACTCGGGAGTATCGAGGCCTGGGCTGAGAAACAGGGCCTAGAGCTGGCGGCCGACTGCCATCTCTGTAGAATCATTCAGGTGTGTACATTTAATAGGGGCTATAGCTGACTGCCATCTCTGTAGATTCATTCAGGTGTGTACATATAACAGGGGCTATAGCTGACTGCCATCTCTGTAGAATCATTCAGGTGTGTACATATAACAGGGGCTATAGCTGACTGCCATCTCTGTAGAATCATTCAGGTGTGTACATATAACAGGGGCTATAGCTGACTGCCATCTCTGTAGAATCATTCAGGTGTGTACATATAACAGGGGCTATAGCTGACTGCCATCTCTGTAGAATCATTCAGGTGTGTACATATAACAGGGGCTATAGCTGACTGCCATCTCTGTAGAATCATTCAGGTGCATGTGCATGCTGTGAGGCAAAAGTCAAGAAAGGAAACTGGTTTTTCTCCATGCCCAAATGAAAAAAAGGGGGAAACAAAATACTATAACAAACTACTTACAAAACATATGTTTTGAAAGTGTTTTGATAGTATAGCAAATCACATGCAAATGAGCTAACAAAACACTATAACAAGTTACTTTGAAAACACTCTAACAAACTACTAACAAAACGCTTTAACAAAATACTTACGAAACACTCTAACAAACTACTAACAAAACACTGTGTTTTGATAGTATTCCATTAGTATAGAAAATCACGTGCAAATGAGGCTAACAAAACACTCTAACAAAATACTAACAAAGCATAAGTAACAAATCATCAATAAACCACTAAATTTGAATTTTTAAAATTATAATTAGCAAATTCACAAGTCTTTGAAAACATCTAAACACAGTCTCATATTGAAACATTATTAACATCTTGTTTCACAGTATTTTGAATTCCAGGTTTGACATTATTGTTCAATAGATAATAGCACACCATTCCAACATTTAAAAACACCAAGTTTGATTCATGATCACTCTCTTATATCGATCATTCTCTGCAGTGAAATCCTTTGGTGTAAGAGATATAATTCTCAATCCATTGACCATTTCTCCATTCACATAGTTACATTTTCACAGAATTTTCAAGTATATAATTGTAATTCATTTAACCCAGTGCTTAAAACTGATCTAAGCTGGGTAGTATTAAAGGTCAATCTTAAAATGAACAAAAACCCAATAAAAACAGGCCATATACACATCCACATTCACAGATTGAAGGTTTAACTGTAGTCCAGTTAACATGGTTAAAGAACTTTATGTCATGCAATAAATAAATACCTCTGTTATGTCCAGATTCATCCTGATTTTGTTTTTTCCAATCAGGGATCAATATATATACTAACACTTTACATGTCCCTTCACCAATCTCTATGTTTCTCTCTGACCTAGTGCTGGTGTTTTGAAAATTGGCGCAAAACTAGTAACACAGGATAAGTTGTTCTTGGAAGATTTTACTGCTCTTAGATAAGTCAACCCTAAACATGTCTGTTAATCAAATGAAATGCTAACAAAATATTAATTTGATGCAGACAAGTATAATGAAACACTTTCAAAATGCAATTTCATTCTGCAGAGTGTAATGAAACATTAATAAAACACCAACATTGTAATGAAACATTAACAAAATACCATGCCACCCCATCCTGTAAAGTATAGCATTGATGTTTCGTTAAATGCAACACTTTCAAAACATACTAAGAAAATATAAAAGTATGATTTGGTAGTGTTTTGAAGATATTTTGAAAGTATTTTGTTAGATTTCTTTTTCATTTGGGTGAGTTTACTTCTTGATTGTGTGATGATAAAATCTCATTTGATTTTATCATGTGTCGTTGAAGCAATGTCTCTTCCCAACAATTTTAAATACTTTTAAATATAAAAGTTGTAAAATGACAAATATAATTTACACATGAATATGAGAAGCTGAGTAAACAATATTATTTATTGATTTTTATAGAAATCAAAGCAGTGCAAATGTATGCTAAGTAAATAACATCTATAATGTTTTGCCTATAGGCTGCACACCTACTCCAGGCTCCTAAGAGTAGCCATTACTACATTTCTAACATCAGCTCTACCTGCTTCAAGCTGAACTCCCTCCAGCTGCGAGAACTCCTCCAGAGGTACATCCCCGAGCCCGGGGAACCCCCCGTCCCCCAGAGTCTGATAGAGGACATCGTCAAGGTCGCTGAAAACATGGCCGACGAACTGACCAAGAATGACGGCCGGGAGGTGTGTCTAGAAGAGCACGCAGATTTACAGCTTCCGTTTCTTCTACCTGAGGAAGGGTACACCTGTGATACAATTAAGGGAATTCCTAAAGGAATCGACGAGTTCATAGAACCTCTGGGCAAAGCTGGTATGTCTGATAATGTGTGTGTTGTATAAGAATCAGTAGGTGTTGTTGTCATAGGAAATGAACCCTCTTTCTTTGTGGACAGAAGTTTTAATGGAAAAGATCATTATCAACTCACAGGCACACTTATTTTTTTACTCTGTTAATGACCTGGCTTTATTTTTTAGTGTTTTAGTAGGGAATTCGAAGGTAGCTTTTGAATAAAATGCATTATAAACTACCCAGAAATATTATCATTTTACTTATTTCTTTGACTGTATATATAAGATTGGAGCACATTGACCATAAGAAGTACTTGACTCATTCTTATTTTCCAGGTCTATGTCGATTGATCCCCCAGCCCGGGGCCAGCGGGGACTGGACTGTGTACATGACCGGGGACGAGGGTCCTAAAATAGACGAGGTAAATATCAATCCAGTCTATATTAAACCCTAAATTAAAGTTAAATATTAACCCCAAAATTGAGGAGGTATAATATATTTACTCCTAAATTCATGTGGAAAATAACCCCAAAATTAAATGAGGTATAAACAGCAAAATTGATGAGGTCATAACACCCAAAAAGTGAAACAATAAATGTTAACCCTAAAATTAACAAAGTGAATATAACTCTAAGATTGTGGAGGTAAATGGTGAATCCAAAATTAAGGAGATAATTTTAACAAAGCATTTGAAAAGTAAAGGGGAATTCTATTCCCTAAAAAATACTGTGATCACTGCAGTTAGGGAACAATGTTTGGATTTTGAATAAAGAAATTCTTGAAACTCCCCTGAAGTGAAATTTCTATATTGTATATTGATTTATTACTCTCACTGACTTTATCTAAATCAGGGCATATTTCTACTCAGCATTAATTAAAAGAAAACTGAAATGTTGATTTTGTTTACAGTATTTCAACAAGGTAATGATAAAGGCATGCTATTGATGCCCCTTATGATACATATATACACCTTTATAAATCCTTAAATACACCCCAGTAAATCCTGATTCCACCCCTGAACTCTGTAGAATTGTCTGAGAATGGAATGACTGCATGTATTTTGTGTACCAGTATTAGTGATTTCTATTTTCTTGGAATTGAGTAATCTTGTTAAATGTTCTCGATGTTGTGACTATATTTTGTATTGCATTGCTTAGGCTATACACCTTTTTTTTGATTCACTAACTTTTGATCAGTCTATGATATCAGCATTTATTATTCAAAAAGTTCATATTGTTCTATTCAAGTTAGCAGTCACTGTTACAACTTACCTGTATGAATTTGAAAGGCGGATTCCGCCTGGAATTTGGGTGGAATATTGGCGGAATTGAGCAGGAGTTTGCGAATTCCGGGTGTACTTGAGCAGGAGACGGAGTTTTCGAAAAGTTACGCCTCAGTAGAAGAGATGTTTTCCAGGCGTAATTTCTAATATCTGGGTGTCAGTTTGCAAGTTCAGATTTTCCAGGCGTAAAATGACGGGAAAACAAAAATCAAACTAACACTGGAACTTTCAGGAGAAGTAAAAGCCTCTGATTGGTCAATTTTAACTATCAAGGAAGGGTCATTTCAGATAGGAAGTAAAGTTTGAATTTGATCAAGAAGGGAGGGACTTTTAAGTGTGAGTGAAATAGGAAATGCAGATATTTCAATGTTGGGGCTTTTACACTTCTGGATGACACATTATCTGCTGGTAGGTGTGATTATTAATATCTGGTACATATTTGGGTAAATTTGGTTATGATTATGTATAATTATAGTTATATAACTTGTTAACCCTAAAATTACTTTTGATATTTGAGTTTCCTTGCACACATTTTGAGATAAATAACAGATAGAGGCAGTCTCCAACTGTAAAGTACTGAGTAATAACGAATGTAGAACTGTATTACTGAATAGAATAGATAATGTTCTTGTGTCAGCCATTCATTGATGCTTAAAATCAAAAAAATCCTACAAAGGGAAAGTAGTTACAGGAAATGTAAAATACTTGCTTTCAGTATTTTTTTATGTTAACATAATTTGAAATTATTAAGTAAAATACCTGCTGAATTGGTATGTCATGGTGATTAACTGCTATGATGTGATGACTGAGTGTTAGGTGTTGTAGTGCTGGTGGGTGTATATGTACAATGTATGAATATATAGATATTACCTGAGTGTACAGGTAACCTTCAGTGACTGTGAGGTGTATATCATACCTGAGTTTATACCTGTTAGAGTTAGAGCTACAGCAGAATCAGGATTAGTTGTGTATTGACTTCTGTGTCTCTATGATATATACGTATTGTCAACGATAGCCAAAGGCAGAACAAAGGAAATGATTTAAATTAGACTTATTCCACACATCAGTAGTCCTAGGTTTGATTCCTTCCTAATTGTCAGTGACAGGAGACTCTTCTGTGTACCAGAGTTTCCAGATGTTTATACTTGGTGTGATCTATACATAGACACAGGTTAGGGATTGGGGTGTTTCCAGACCGTTATCCCTGATGATATCTATAAATAGATAGACACTGAAGGATAGGGACGGCGTGAGTGTGTGTGTGCCGAGTTGGTGATGTAGAACAGGGCTGAAGAAGCTGTCTGATATCCTTCAATGTCATGAAGAAGTAAAATGACTGATGTGAAATGAATGGCGGATAATCAGTGAAATGAATAGAAGAAACTGTGAAATAAATAATGTCATGTCGTGATAAGTTAAGGAAGCGGGGACTGATCACGCCGATGAGGCAGTTTGTTTTTGGGGAGAGGAAGTATGTTTCTGCTTGGATCAGTGTAAGGCCTTAGAAATGTTCTGTCAGTATAAGATTGTAGAAATGTTCTATCAGTGTAAGGCCATAGAAATGTTCCATCAGTTTAAGGCTGTAGAAATGTTCTATCAGTGTAATAAGGCCTTATAAATGTTCTATCAGTGTATGGCATTAGAAATGTTCTATCAGTGTAACTGAGGCCATAGAAATGTTCTATCAGTGTAATAAGGCCTAATACAAATGTTCTATTAGTGTATGGCCTTAGAAATTTTTTAGCAGTGTAAGACTGTAGAAATGTTCTGTGTAAAGCATTAGAAATTTTCTATCAGTGTAAGGCCTTAGAGATGTTCTATCAGTGTAATTTTGTATAAATTTTCTATCAGTGTAAGGCTTATCAGGGTATAGGCATTAGAAATGATCTGTAGGTTCTGACACAACAGAATTCTGTGGATCTTTCATTTTTGTCCCCTGCTTTCGCAAAAGCGAGGGGACATTAAATCTCATTCGTCTGTCCGTCAGTCTGTCCCTCCGTCACAAAAACTTGAACCTTGCCAATAACTTTTGATTTAGTGGAGCTATGATTTTCATATTTCATATGTGTATTCCTTGTGATAAGACCTTTCTTTGGGTACCACCAAATTTGACCTTTTGACCTTGACCTTGGAGTTTGACCAACTTTTAATTAAAAATTCCAAACTTTTACTTTGGCCATAACTTTTGAATGGTAGGTACCGGTACTGGGACTTTCATATTTCAGATGTTTATTCTTTGTGACAAGTCCTTTCATTGTATACCAACAACTTTGACCTTTTGACCTTGACCTTGGAAATTTACGTACTTATGAAAAAACTATAACCTTGACCATAATTTTTGAACGGTAAGGGCTATGGCTTTTATACATTCACATGTGTTATTCTTGTAAGAAGACCTTTCATTGGATACCAAAAACTTTGACCTTTTGACCTTGACCCTGGAGTTTTAACTACTTTTTAAAAATTATAACCTTCGTCACAACTTTTGAACAGTAGATTCAAGGACTTTTATATTTCACATATGTATTTTTTGTGGCAAGACCTTTCATTGGATACCAACAACTTTGACCTTTTGACCTTGACCTTGGAAATTTACGTACTTATGAAAAAACTATAACCTTGACCATAATTTTTGAACGGTAAGGGCTATGGCTTTTATACACTCACATGTGTTATTCTTGTAAGAAGACCTTTCATTGCATACCAAGAACTTTGACCCTTTGACCTTGGAGTTTTAACTACTTTTTAAAAACTTTAACCTCGGTCACAACCTTTGAATGGTAGAAACTTGGACTTTTGTATTTTAAACATATGTATTCTTTGTGGCAAGACCTTTCATGGGATACCAAAAACTTTGACCTTTTGACCTTGACCCTATAAAATAATATCTCGCCCACAAAGACAACGAAAGCTAGGGACCACAATTCTTTGAATTTGCTTGTATAAACTGCATGCAATAATTAGAAATAGTAAGCACAGTCAGGGTATGATAATAAATAACTGTCTCTCTGTCCTTATAAAACAGTCAATATTCCAATTTGTCAAAGATGTATGTATATACAGTGAACTTTCTGTTGTGTATTGCACTGGATCAAGTAGCTGTACATATAGGAGTTTGCATGAAAAGAAAAAAATCGATTTCTTTGCTTGTCGTTATAACTGGTATTTTACAATGGTTGATGTTCTCTTGCTACAAATGTTTCTGAACATGACTCTGTATTAATAGAGGCTTAACATGGAATCGGAGTATGCCACAGTACAGTTAGTATAATAAAGTCCAAGGATTGGCCTTTTTATTGATGTTTGGTACATTACAAATACTGATGAATCTGGCCATTGATCCCCCTGGCTGTCGTCATTATTTGATTTGTGTAGGTATATAAACTCTAGAGACTTAAAACATTTCATTCTGATGCTTCTGAAGGATGTTTTATGAATTGTGTAAAATCTCTCTCAATCTTCGAAATCAGCAGAAGGCAGCAGTTAAACTTTGGTCCCATCCTAGACATAAGAAGGCCAGTTATTCAATGTTTTATTGTAAGAATTATTTTTCGTCTTACATTAATGCATTCTGTACTGACTGTTATTTGTTACAACTTACAGGCTGTTAGGAAGGGACCCCATCAGCCCCCACAACAACAGGCTGGTCACCATGGAGATCGTCCACAGCAACAGTTACCAAAGGAACCTGAGATAGCCACAGTGTCCTTCAACAAGGTCAAGGGCAGTATGGGACTGAGTATTGTGGAAGCCACACCCAAGGTCAGTTCTTCTGTGTTTGTAAATGAGTGTTATCATAAAATTCTGACAGATACCCCCGGTACTTTGAAACTGTGCACATACAATGCTAGTAGTATTGAATCCTTAAATACTGTAACAAGATGACAAAAGGGATTTCATATATGGGGGAGGGGTTACTTGAAAGATGGGGGGGGGGGGAAACCAAGGTAAGTGTATTGAGAGACTTTCCCTATATAAACTGACTGCATTGGGTACAGGTTAAGAGGTATATTAGTACAAGGAGAATGGATGAGGAGTCTGTTTTGACAGAAATTGGAAGGGGTGGTGTCACAGTAGGATTTGATGTTTGAGAGGACAAAGATTGGACAGGAGGGGGGGGGGGGCATAAAAGGTTTTGATGTTTGACAAGACAGAGTATGAGGAATGGATACAGTATTATGGAGAGACTCAGTTCCTCTGACAGGACGAGAGATTGGAGGGGGTACTCAGATAGGGATGGGGATGGATGGATGTCTGACAAATTTGATACAGATGAAGGTAGATTGCTTACATGGCCATGGCTAAAGGGGAGTCCATGAGTTCAGTATTCAACAGATGGTTAATTTTAATGCAGTTAAATTCTTGAAATATGGCATTATTGATGATTTTATCCATTGGCAAGTAAGCCTGTATCAGATAAATAGCTGTAACCGTTACATTTAATAAGAGAGTTTTTTAGATTCTTAATTCATTTCCTCTAGGAATAGGGGTAAATCGGATGGACAAAATAAAACAAGAAAGTCTGAGATCGGTAGATCCAGGCTTTGTAGGCAGGATATGTTGTAAGAGGCCATACTCTTTGTAATGTTTGGGGTCAAACAGGCAAGAGTACTTTTGAGGGGGGTGTTATTGTCAGAGTATTGATATTTCTATTTCATCAGAAGGTGTTAAAGTTAGCACTTGTAATATCAGTTCCTGCCTGTGTAATCAAAAACATTGATTTTTTCTCATTTTGTAATTGCAAGTATTCTTATTTAGGTATATAATATTGACTACTTTAATTGTAAATGCTTGTAATAATATGTTAAAATTAGGTGCTGATCTCACTTTTGAAAACTGCATTGGACGTTGTATTTGTGAATTTAATAAAAAAAAAATTCAATATTTAAAAAAAACAATCCATCCACAGATGCTAGGCCAAATTAAATAAAATGTATCATGCTGCATACAAAACAAATTACCTTAGCAATATTTATTTAGCGATGTTTTAAAAATTTCTTAATCTGAAATTGGTAATTGTTCAACCATTTCTTTTATATTCTGTACATGTATTCACTATATAATTCAGAAGTACTTATCTGCCATCAAAGACCCAGACAGACAGAGGAAATGGATGCAGGTACTGAAGGCCGGGGTATTCATTTAAAATCTAACTGACGAAAAGAAAAATGGAAGCAGACCAAAATTCATACCCGGGCCCTATGAATCACTAGTCAGGTTCTCTACTAATTGAGCTATCTGGTGACTGGCTATCGAATCTGAGTGAGAACCACATTCCTCCCTAGATCCCTCTAAATGTCTTTCTCCTCAAAGGCTCTTCCCTGACAGGTGTGTCACCAGTCACTTCTGGGTGTAATACTGATTTTCTTCCTTTTTATTCTGTATAAGTGACAGATTTAAGACCTACAAGACATGATGATGAACCGGGCTGCAGGATCTAAAACATTAGACAGATCGAATTATGACTGTTATTCAACTTCAACTGCTTGTGGTCAGATGGCTTAATGGTTGAGCATGTTTCTGGTTAAAGTTCAGGAGGCCAGTCCTGGTTCTTCGCATTTTCTCCCTTACTGTTACATTGCCTAATTTTACCACATGTATGATCATTAGTTGCTTTCATATAAAGGTTTTGAAGTGTAGATATCCAAATAAAAAGTTCTCTGCTGCATAGCTACAAGCTAACAATGCATGCTTGATCACATGCTCACAACATAACTCACAAAACAGATAATGAAAGAGTTAGATATTACAGCTTTTTTGAAAGACATCTACACTTAGCTAGATCTTTACGTTTGATTTATGTATATTTTTTCTTTGAACAGGCCAGAGAAATGATAACCTCTGAGTGTGATCAAGTAAAGGAGATTTGTTCTACACTGGCAAGCTTTAAGACGACAAACACCAGACAACCAGCTTACAACTATGACAACCAGGAAATTGGGTCCCCCTTTGGAAACTTTGGTAGAAATGATTATTCCAGACACGAGGAGCCCACAAGAGACCCTGATGTATGGCCACCACCAACCCCTGTAGAACACAGGTATGGGTTATCTCACTTACAGGATCAGTGATTGGTTGATGCAGGTTTATCATGTACAAGATAATGCATATAAAATAACAGAAAATTTTATTATTTCCTTCCTGATTAGGAGCATATTGCTCAATTGATCAATAAAAAAAAATGTGTTATCTCATGGTACCATATTGGTGAAAAACTAGTTCTTAGAAATGTAAAGCTTGTTTTGTTTTTTTTTAAATATAGTTTGTACATATATAATTTTACAGACCTGGTCCTAATATACGAGCAGCCAGGAAACCAGAACCAAGCAGAAACCGCCAAGCACCCAGCCGTCCTGGATACGGGGACAGGAGAGGGCCCAGTCAACCCAGTGGTCAGGGGAGGGGAGGACCAGGGCAAAAGGACAACAAGAAAAAAGTGTGTATAGCAAAAGTGCTGGGACAAACATATAAAATATCAAATGATTCAAAGTTTGAAGTTAAAAAGAGTTTTCCAACTCACTTTCATATTACCACAGGGCTCGACATTAATGCTTGTCTGCTTGTCCGGTACCAACGAAAAATAAATACGGACAAGTGAATATTGCTGGGCACTTGTCCGATTAGACAAATGCATTTTAGTGTAAAGGGGTTTCTAAATAATAAAAAGAACGACTGTTGAAAGCTAAATCGGTAGTCTAAAGACGGAAGCTGTACATAAAATCTAAACTTTGATCCCGATATGTATCTCTATGTTAATATTGAGTTCACATTCGATCGGGATCGAAGTTCACTAATTGCATACTACTGAAAAGTCAAAGAAGATACAAGGCAATCGCATCATCTCGGGTCTTTCCGTCAGAGGTCGGAAAAACAACCTCGAATGTATTAACATCACCGGATGTTAAAAATTTATACATTTCCTGTTTATTCAAATATAGGTTAGACGGAGTTAGAAGTCCCTTCTATGGTATATTTTAGGTAATAACATTACATTGAATAAAGTTAAACTCCAAATTCCAAAGATAAAAGGTCTCCATGCATTTATTTCCAAGATCGTGAAAAAGGAGGGTTGTTATGGCGGCTACCATATACATTCGAGGTCGTTTTTCCGCTAGTCGGAAAGGCCCGAGAAGTTGCGATTGGATACAAGGCTCAAGATACAAACCAAAGTGTGAATTGTTTGATCGTTGACAGGTTCACTTGCGGATTTTTATGTTATTGTCAGGATAGCTGCAATAATGTAGCCCTCTCCGATTTTTTTTTATCTGATGTTTTCTGGAGATGTCTACAATTCCATCGCATCTCCGTAATGGTGCAAATCTATTTTTTAAATACGGGCGATTGAAGGCAAAATAAATTAATTTAACATTCAACTTACTTCTTATAAGACTGAATTTTTATTCACTGTCAACAACATAGCCCGCTAAACTCGAAAACCATGTAAAATATATTTCCATGTTTATCAGCAGCAGCCATGACAGTTCACTTGTGACGTACTGAGACTTTCCCTTGAAATTTAGAACAACTAAAAAAAAGCAAATGTCGATGTTTATAAACGACTGTGCTGAAATGTATCACAAAAATATTATAAATAAAACCATTTCAATTGTTAATTTTTACGCGAACAGTGATATGTATGCTTAAAATAAGGGAATTCCTAAAAGATCAGCTCCTATAGATTCTAAATTTATATTGGCTGTCCCAAAATAAAATCTATCAAGGTCAGTAAACACAGCGGATAAATTCAAGTTGTGATGTTGACATACATGAAAAATGACCGATACATGGGTCGTTGTGAATATGTTTGGATCGATTTATGTCTTGCATAATTACTTTTTTGGAGTCCAGGTAAGAGATGTTAATAAAATAGCTGCTTACTGATGATTTTAGCCGAAATCCGTGCGGGAGTGAATCACTGCCGCATCTGCACCATTACGGAGATCCTAAGGAGTTGTAGCCCTCTCCCACAAAAAAAAAAAAAATGCCGGAGAGGGCTACTTTATTGCAGCTATTGTCAGGACAGAAAGCCTAAATTAAATTTCATTTTATGTGTCTGTTGCATTTATCAATAACATCAAGAATCAATCAAGCGCATGACATGTGTAAATAAATGGACTTTATTTTAATTTTTAAGTTGAAACTATTGAACATTATTGAAAAATTTTGGATAAGTGAAGTTGAAATTTGGACAAGTAAATGTTTTGGTCACTTGTCCGAATGGACAAGTAGGAAAAAAGTTAATGTCGAGCCCTGTACCAGGGTATTTAAAATGTTGATATTGGATATATATACAAAATGTAATATCAAAATCACAGGTGAAGAAAATCCAGGCCTTTATATCATCATTCACTAAATTCATCTAAATAAGTGTTTATGATTAATAGCATATTTAAGGACTGTTTGCAAAAAGGTAGAATTATGATATATGAAATATATGTTTGCTCATGACAATTTACATATTTTTAATCAGGCATATTTCTTATTAATTTAGCAAGATGACAGAGAAAAGAAGTTTGATCCTACTGGATATGATAAAGATCTAGTGGAGAATCTGGAAAGAGACATTGTACAGGAAAATCCGAATGTTAGCTGGTAAGATCTGATAACTTATACATTGTGTTGAGGTATAGGGGAAACTATAAGAAGTAAGAAATAGATTGAAACTTACAAGTACATGTACCTGGTTTTCTACCCAGTTAGCTTAAGGCATAAGTTTTTAGCAAGAGGAATAGCCATTTAAGAATTGTAGCGATCTACGGGAGCGGATCAAAAGATTTGATTTTAATCAGTTTGAGGTAAAAGTAGTGTAAAATATTATGAAAATAGGTCAGACTTGATGTGAAGGGGTCAGAAAGCATAAAATACTTTGTAAAAGCTGTAAAAAGACCCCTTGACCTTGAAGTTTGACATATTGATTAAAAATGTTAACATTGCTTTAAATTGGTCAGAACTTTTGAATGAGAAAAGATACAGCTTTCATATTACAAATGTATATCACCTGTGAAATATCTTTCTATATATGTATATGTATATTTTAATTTTTTACCCTGTGACCTTGACCTAATATCTTAAAATGTTACCTGTCATCACTTTTCGAAATATGTGCATTACTTGTGACAAGTTGTCTCTGAGCATGCTATGATTTTTTACCCCTTGACCATAACCTTCATGTTTGACCTATTTTTCAAAAATTATTCGGTAATAAGCAATATTTGCCCCCAAAATTAAACTTTGATGGAGATATATTTAATTAAGTTCTAAAACAGGAGAGTATATGTTGACTTCAAAGCACTGAATATTTTCATAAGTAATGACGCCATATGTACGTAATGACGTCACAAATATGACGTAAATTTCAGTTTTTTATGAATTTTACAGAAAAATGTACATATTTCGTCAATATTTTGAGTAAAAGTCACCAAGCGCATGTGTGTTCAGGATCAATATTTTGATATAATATGTAGAATGATAATTTCAATGAAATATGTCAATATTGTTTCTGATCAAACTTGCGCTCTATAAATTTTAAAGCTAAAATCATTGAAATTTTGTCCATTTTGTCCTCTTTCTAAAAAAGGAATAAAATCGGACTAGTTTATGCAATATACCGCATATAGTTCTTTTGATAACTTTTGAATGACATATAAAAAGGCAGTTTAATCAGGCACGTAGCATCGTTTTTGAAAGTGGGGGGGCCACCCTGAGAAAATTTTTTTTAACTTACCGAAAATAAGTTGACAAGCAAAAAAAAAAAAAACGGGAAAATTAGGAATTGCCCAAACTCGAAATTTCAATTTCCTGGGGGGGGGGGGGGGGGGGGGGGGGTGTTAGTGGCCAACTTTTTTCAAGGCCAACTTCTTTTCACTTCCAATTTTTTCCCATAATTCCTTGGTATGAATAGACTCTGGTAAAAAGTGGGGGGGGGGGCAACCATCTTTTCAATGGACATTTTATATTGAAAAGGTAATAGTGGGGAAAAAAGCCTGCCCCCCCCCCCCCCCCCCCCCCCCCACTTGCTACGTGCCTGCATATTGCCATTGTGACCTCCTTTTTTACTTTATGATCCGACACACATTTTGGGTTTCCCATAGCGAACATGGACACTGCCATTATATTCATATGGGAGGCGGGAATATCATTTAGTGAGCTCATTGCTCACAGTACCTCTAGTTTGTTTATTTTATTTTATTATTTTTTTTAGCAATTCATATATCTGAAAAAGAGCAGGGGATTTTATGTTTTTGCCTAAGTACTCATATGTATTTTCTCAGGCATAAGATGAGCTCCTTTAATCTTGATGACGAGTTGACATGTCCAATATGCCTGGAATTGTACGACTGTCCCATCTCGTTACCTTGCCTCCACAGCTTCTGTACAGAATGCCTACAAGACCTAACACACAGCAGTGGTCCCACCACGGTGACATGCCCACAATGTCGGACTGACGTCCAGGTTCCCACTGGGGGTGTGAAGAATTTCCCGAAAAATTTCAATTTGGCAAATATTGTACAGAAAGTTAAACAGCACAACGAGCAGAAAAATCAACAGAAATGAAAAATAAAGATGCCCAAAATGACCAATCTGATATGGCAGAGCATATTCAAGGTGCGGATTGCATTATATATTGCATCATAAATTGAGACTGTTTTATTTCATAAAGTTAATACGCTTAATTGGTGTTGATTGCAGGCGTTGTTGAAGTCCTCCATCGTCGGCGGCAGTTCCAGCTCCTCCTTGGGAATCATACGGATCTGTTCCGCGCTCAGTCCACTAATTCTCCGACGGAAGGACATCATGGCAGCATCTCTACAAACAGATTCCATGGAGTTAGTTAAAATGAACACATATTAGCACGAGTTGATCAAGATGTTACACCTGTTATTAAATGTTTAATACTGTAATGGAAAGCTTTCAATTCAAAACTTTATACACTAATATCTCAATATATTTTGACTTTTGCTCTAAAATTTTGTTCAGATATATGCCATACACTGTACTTTTGAAGTATTAATTAGATATTTGAAACACAATATGGGATCTCGTTTATCACTGCATAACAAGAATGTGTTAATGTACATGTGTTTATGATGTTTCTCTTTGCCACTCATTTTAAATATGATGATACAAGAGTTTTACACAAAAAGAAGGAAATTAAAAATAACATTTGGATATGTTGATCAAAAAGCATATACAACTTAAAACAAGGCAGTTTAAACCAAATTGGCAGTAATTATGTTCCCCAAACGGAGTTTGGGAACATATTGTTTTTACTCGGTTTCTTATTATCATTAAGGTCTTCCGTCCTCAGCGGAAGACCTTCTTGTTATTCTTCGTTTTTTTTTTCACTTTTTTTTCTTACCTATTATTAGGTCTTTCCACCTTTCCGTGGAAAGACCTATTGAAATTGTTCTGTTTATTATTATTATTTTTATTATTTTTCCGCCGAATGGTTTTTTGTTTCACAAGTTATTGAAGAGATCTATTGTTCATATGAATGTACTCCTTAAATGATTTTTTCGTTTGACCCTGCGTATATGAAATTCGACCCCTTTTGGAGTTACCGCCCCTTTCACAAAAATATTTGTTATTGCTACTCCTCCGAAACCGTAAATCGTAGAGGAATGAAACCTTCACCAATGTCTTAGACTAATTAAGAAAACCTTAAATCCTTCATTGCAAAAGTATTCATGACCCCTTCAATGAGTTATTGCCCCTGAAACTTTTTGAATTTTACAAATAATTAAACATTTTCAAAACGAGAAGTCATAGAGACATGGGACCAACTGCATAAGATTCATTGACCTTTGACCTTAAAATTCATGTAAAGGTCAACGGTCAAGGTCATTCCAAAAATGAGAAATTTAGCTCTTTTTGTTTCTCTTCTGTCTTTCAACATATACTTAATGTCTATGCATCATTACTATGTACTTTTAAAACTATTTCAAAGATTTCATTCTTGTCCCCTAACATTAACCCTTTTTAAAGTTATTGCCCCTTGTGTGAAAAACCTATTTTTCGCTACTCCTCCGAAACTATAGACCGTAGAGTCACCAAATCTTCACAAATGTCTTAAGAGTCTTTACGCCTAACTTCACTGTATAAGTGCGAAAGGATCTCATGACCCTTATATGAGTTATTGCCCTTTAACTTCTTTGTACTTACTATTAAACCTTATAAGTTGAAAACTATAAGTCATAGAAGCATGGGGTCAATTGCATTATGACCCTTGACCTTTGACCTTGAATATTTTTTTCAAGGTCAAAGGTCAAGGTCATTCCAATTTTTTCTTTAATTTTATTTTTTCTGTGCTTTAAGACAATGCTGGTTTCTTTTTCATGGAATATAATTTTAAGGAGTCAGATATAAAACAAATTTGAAATTCAAAGAAGGTGGAAAGACCTCTTATTGTTCTGTGAACAATAAGTCTCCTAGTTATTCTTTTTTTTTCTTACCGCAATTTCTCGAAAACGGCTCGGCGGATTTCCATGAAAATTTCAGGACTTATGTAACATTACTTAAACGTGATTCATTTTTTTTCCGTTTTGATGACGTCACTTCCGGTCCGGAAATATTGTCGATTTTATGATTTTTGAAGGGTCAGGTTGTCCGCGAACGTTCTAAAAACTGGCTTAAGATAGAAACGTGAAAATTTCAGGTATGATAATCCTAAGTCTATAGATGTGCAAAATGAATTTCATTTTTATCGGGAGTGCCGCGCGTCGGCGCTCGCTATGGCCCGAAAATTGTCCTATCGCTAATTTCAAAATTTTAACAACCTTCTCTATGATATCTTTTTACTTTGAAATATTTTGTTATAACATATAGAACAAAAGAAGTGTAGAATTCCAAGATCTTTCAAATGATATCTCGAAAAAAGAGCTGGCCCCTAAAATCAAGGGTCTGTAGGGGCCATAAGTTTTTCCTTAATATCTAAAAAAGTAATGAGAATTTGTAATACATCAAAGAAGCAATGTTGTTCAAAATGTCAAGCTTAATCTTCGGGAGTCGTCAAAATACGTCCGATGACGTCACTTCTGCCCAAACCGGAAGTAGTCGGAAAACGCGTATTTTGGTCATTCTTGACAAGTTTTGGGGTATCTTACGTCACAAGGAACATAAAAATAAATTTTCCGTCCGTCGTCGTCACTTCCGGTCAAACCGGAAGTAGCAAAAAATGGCTTATTTTTGCATTAATTAACATAGATTTTGAGGATTCAACTAATATTGGGGCGTTTTTTCTCATATTCGTTAAAAACGAAAACTACTTCCTGTCAAACAGGACGGAAGACCTACTCGTTGCTGTGCAACGAGCTTTGCTCTAGTTGAGTAGTCTCCTTGTGTGCCAAATTATATTGAAATCAGACTAAATTTGTAGGAGGAGTAGCATTTTAAAAATATTTCACAGAAATTTCTATTTTTAGTAACAACGACAACACCGTTCATCGAAATCAAAAACCGATACACAGAATTATGTATCTTAGTGTAGTCTACTTGTGTGCCAAATTATACTGAAATCAGACCAAATCTGTAGGAGGAGTAGCATATTAAAATATGTATCTTAGTGTAGTCTACTTGTGTGCCAAGTTATATTAAATTCAGACCAAAACTGTAGGAGGAGTAGCATTTTGAAAAATAGTTTATAGGCAGACCAGACAGACGGACGGACGCCGGACGCATTACTATCGCAAAATCTCTTCTGGTTTCTGACCAGAAGAGCTAAAAATGAACGTATCTTGATAAGTTTTAGATCAAATTTTCATTTTATTCCGTTTCAATGATTTTGACGGATTAGTCATTATCATAATGGGAACTATATTACAGTTCACAAATCTTTTTCATAAACATGATAAATAAACTTTCTTGTCATCAGACATCTTGTGTCCCCCCATTTGTGAGTCCCATGTGTGGCATCCCAGTCTAGAACTATACATCTCTTGATGTCATAAAGGTCTGGTTGACCTGGCCAGATATTGCTATAGGATATAAGAACATTGTCCGTACTCCATCTCCACACACCAAGTTGTGCGTGAGAAATTGCTCCAAGGTACTGATTTTCGTTCTTACCTGTATTTTAAGATAATTATATATTTTTTAGAAATTACATGTAACAGTTGATGAGATTTCCAAAATAAACTAGTTTGAAATACTTAACGCGGAGAAAAAATCAGTCAATGTAAAGTGCATATTGCAATTCCTTAGCATTAATATATTATTTGTATTAAAATGAATGCATGCATTTTTTTAATTTCATAACGGGGAAATAGGTAATATACAGCTGTGTATGCAACATGTTTAACAAGAGTATATACTCATTTAGATGAATTGCTTACCACCATTGCGCAACGATATTTCTTCAACAATCCAATCATCTTCTTCTTTGGTGTCAATTTTAACCAGATATGCTCCGTTGTTAATACAATAGGTCTGTAATAGAACTAAAAGATACAAGTGATGGTTGAACATTTAAGCATTGTGGCATTAAGAAAACATAACGTCAAGTCTGTTAATCATTCTTTTAATATACCATGACAGTAGAATCGTTAGCAACGAAGCCAACAAAATGTTCCCGACGATTAATTTTCTTGAATAAAAGTACATCTCGAAACTGACGAATAATTTTCGCTAGCAAATAAAAGTTGCATGCATTTTACAGTGTTAGTATAAGTTAATTTTAAGACTAATTTGCACAAATTGATTCCACAAATGTTCCCTTTTTTCTGACTTGTTTGTTAGGTAAATGATTATATAATGCTTCAAACAACCTTTGCCTCATTCCAGATTAAAAAGGTCTGCTCAAAGAGATAACAATGGTCCTTGTACCGCCTCCAACCAGAAGGGCAACCTAGGGGAAAATACAAGCATTGTTCAACATTTAGCAGTGTTGATTTCATGTTTAGAGAGATAACTGAAAGGTGTTCATTCATGTTTTTTTTATTCATAAAAAGGTTTCAAGTTCTTGTCAACCTGAACAAAATAATTAGATAATTCGTATAATTGCAAAGTCAATATTTTCCTTTCGGAAGACCCGTCATAAGTGTCAGATAAATAAAAATAAGGTGCACAATAACATTATGAAATAAAACTAGAGGTATTGTGAGCAATGAGCTCACTAAATAATACCCCCCGCCTCCCATAACGTCGATGTGTTCTTTTTATTGTTTTACGGTAATGTGTAAAGTGTAATAACTCGTCCTTTCAAATCTTATCCAGAAGCTTCTATTATGTGACGTCATCGGTAAATAAAAAATGGCAATGTCCATGTTTTGCTCTGGGAAACCTAAAATACGTGTCGAATAAAAAAGTAAATTAGGAGGTGCACAATGGCAATATGTAATAAAGACTCTGTGAAAGTTTCATTAAATTTCACTCAGTAGTATAAGAGGAGTTGCGGACGGACGGACGGAAATCCCGATCACTATATACCCTCCCGCTTTTCAAGCGGGGGTATAATGAATTCAAAGTTTCTTTAAATTTTCTTCGGTGGTATAGGACAGGTTGCGGATGGGTACCCTTTAATATTATGGAAAGAATGGCAGTGTCTATGCTTTGCTATGGGAAACTGAAAATATGTGTCAGATAAAACAGGAGGTGCACAATGACA